ATTCCTGTGTATCTCCCATATCTGTCCCCCTTTTGAACAAGAACATCCAGTTATCTTATGCCTGTCTCACCATGTATATTGGGTGAGCAGTGGAGGGCAGTTGTAAGTTCACAGTTCTTTGGAGCAAGAGCAACAGCCTTCATGGAGCTGAACTTGAGAAAATACTGATGTAGAGCCACACGTGGACCTGATGTAGATGACAAGATTATAGAGTTTGAGCAGATGCTGTAATTGCATGACACTTTGGCAGACTCAGGAAAGCATGAGTGTATTTTGCACATGGGAGAGATGTGAATCACCAGAGACTAGAAGTGGACTGTGGTTGCTAGCTTATAAGATAGTCCCCTATGATCCTTACCTCCTGGTGCTCATGCCCTTGTATAGTCCCCTCCCACACTGATTAGAGCTGACTTCTGTAACCAATAGGATGTAGCAGAGATGACAATGTGTAGATTTTAAAGCTAGGTCATAAAAGGCATTACAGCTCAGCATTTCTCTCTTTTATTATCCACTCTGACAAAAGCCAGCTGCTATGTCACGAAAACCCTCAAGAAGCCCTACTGAGAAGACACAGTGAAGAACTGAGGCTCCCTGCCAACAGCCAGCATGGACTTGCCAACCATTGGCAAACCATCTTGCAAGGGGGTTCTCCAGCCCCAGTCAAGCCTTCAGGTGAGTGCAGCCATGGTTGACATCTTGACTGAGACCCCAGGCTAGAACCACCCACCTAAGTCACTCTCCAATTTCTGATTCACAGAAACTGTGTGAAATAATATCTGTTACCGTTTTAAGTCACTAAGTTTGGAGTTATTTGTTACACAGCTATAGATGATTAATACTCCTGCCAAGTGCAGGACCAATGTTAATCAGAAGCAACTGCCTGGATGGTGTGTGTGTGTGTGTGTGTGTGTGTGTGTGTGTGTGTGTGTCTAAGTATGGAAGTGTGCCTGTGTGTGTGACAATCTGTGTGCACCTGTGAATGTGTGTGCCTTTGGTGTAACTGCTGATCTATAGGTCTGTGTTTGTGAGAGTACCAGTCTATGCCAGTGAATGCCTTGTGTGCACCTGTGTGTGTGTTTGTGTGTGCATGCATGACTGATTGTGGGTTTCCCAGTGGGACTGTGTGTTTGTGGATGCTGGGTGGTGGGTATAGTCTGTATGTCTTCATATATTTGTGTTCTGTGTGAGTTTGTGTACCACTGCAACCCTTGCAGATCTATGAGAATGATTGTGTATACACACTGTGGCTCACAGTTCTCATCCATGCTCCCTCTGGGGGCATGTGCTTCCATGTGACACTGTAATCACGTCCCTATTTACAGGACAGAATGTGGGCCTGCGTGCTGGCCGCTATCTCACAGTCTGGTCTGTCTGAGGGTGTGTGTGTAGCTGTGTGAGCACGCATCTGCATACAAGTGACATCATATCTGCAGGTCTGGGCCATGTGTAACTCTGTGTGCTTCTACTTGTGACTTCTATTTCATGGTCTGTACACACATGCACCTGAGTGTTATCTGATGGCTCTTGTCTCACAGTTCTGGTTTGTGTCTCC